AATTAATTAAAAATAAAAAATTATCACGTAATTAATTGACAATTACGTGGCAATTTTTTCAACCTATCTAAAAAAAAATTCATTAAAAATAACAAATAAATGAATATCGATAATATGGATATTCATCTTGATATCCATTTTAGCGGATAATAGACATATTTGATTAATTTTTACAAAGTCGACTATCCAAGTCATACTTAAACGAATATAATTACTTTTTCTATAAAAAAAGATAATCAGTTTGTCAGCCCTAATCAGGCTCTGTAAGTAGATATATATATAGCTTTGGTGTCAATATTTTTAATTTAATCTACGTTTAAGTCAATTTTCCTTCTCTTATTTTCATTTTTTGAGAACAATATCCCTAATGATTATTTATGACTAAAGATTCATATTTCGTTTTCAAATAAAAACGTGATATTGAACCTAGCCTATCATTTAATGGATAAATTAAAATACAAGGGTACAATTTAAACACGTAAAGAGAAGTCAAAACAAAAATATATATTGGGATTCATTTGACTATAGTTTCACATTTGACCACCAAGGATGTGGTGTTGCACCGGATATGAAGTTACTTCTCTTGTATATATGAAAAATTATTAATAGGGAGCGGTTTATTTTTGAATTAGGCTCTATGAGAAGCAAATTCAAATTATTAAGACTTTAATGCGGATATCAAAATTATAATAGAAAAAAAAATAGAAAGTGTTGATAGTTAACATGTTGTATACTTCAACTTCACAATAAGAGATCTCCGTTTACTCAACAAATAGTGAAGATTTTATCTCTTACATTGAAATTAAAGTTTAAATTGTTAATTATCAACGGCACTAATTAAATAACTAAATTATGTGTGTATGCGGAGTATATTTAGCTAAGAAGTACAACTATTTTAAAAAAAGAATTCTTTATTTTTTTTTAATTATAATTATAGAAGAGTGAGTTAACTTTGTTGTATCAACATGTATGCTTGGTATTATTTTTTATTTTTAGGTGATATTTTGTCATTTCATGATTGATTGTTAGTATTTTTGTGCTTGATATTATTTTTATTTTTAGGTGATGTTTTTTATTTCATGATTAGTATTTAATACTATTTTTTTTGTTTATTTCACATGCAATCTACAAAATAATTATGCACAATACATTATATATGGTTCTATTCTTTCATATTATTTGTTATAATTTTTTTACACTCTTTAAAAGTACATAAACAAAAATAATATTCTTACTAATTTACTATTAATTTTTTTAATACTTTCTTCTTTTATTTTAACTTATCATACTTGAATTTGACACATTTATTAAGAAAATAATAATTGACATAACTATTTAATTATCACACTATTTCTAATAATTGGTTTTTATTATTAAGTTTTGAAAATTTGAGGAATAAGTAATTAATATTAAGTATGAAACATGAAAAAAATTTATCTTTCCTTAAATTAACTATCGAAATTTGAACCCTTCATGAAAGATCGAGCATTCATCAAAGTTGTTGGCCTGAACTCAAAATAATATAACTATAACAAATTCTATTGTAATCAATTGAATTATAATTTAACGAATATTATTTAAATTATAACTCAAAAACAAATTTTGTTTAAATGAATCTAATTATAATTATATTTATTACTAAATCATTTTCCATTACGCCCGTGCTTGTGCAAGCTTGCCATCCTCTAGTTAGTAGTACAAATTTTTAGGTTTTTGTACAATAAACTATCCTAACAAGTAGCAATTACTATTAGGTGACGGAATTTATGGAGTTTGAGAAGTAATTGATGGCTTAACAATTCCTCTCTATTTCAAAATAAAATCGAGGTAATGCACATTTATTAAGAATAAAAATTTAGGGCATAAATTGAACGTCACTTTTTTTTAGTTTATTCTCAAACTATTCTTAAAAATATAAATTATCCAAAGTAAAATCATAAATATGAAATCCATATATCCATCTTTTTCTTCTTGGCACAATCTATATAGTTTGATGAAAGTGCTATAAATAGACGGACAAATTAGGAAAGTTCTACTTTTGGAATATGTTACTAACATTTTAAACTACAATCTAGTTCATATTGAACTAAAGATGCATATGTTGTGAGGTATAAGGTATAATACTTTTAGAATTAAATGAATGAGTATTTTATCTCATGTTTGATTGGAGGTATTAGGTAGCCATTAAATTAGATATTGTATAGTTTTTGTCATAGTAATAAGATAAGTCATCACATATACATAATCGAATAACTTATCTCGAAATAACTTTTTCTGGGATTAATTGTCCTAGAATAACTTATTCCTAACTAAACGACCCCTAAAAGTGCAACTTAATTACTCCAACGGGAATGTTTCTTTTTTCTGTTTAAGATGGTTCCTTCGAATGAAAAAGTTGAACTTAATTATTATACTATTGTAGTTCTAAAATTTTCCTTCAGAAGAAGCCAATTTGTTGGTTGAGCGATTCTTTTCTTATTCTTAAAGGTAATTAAGGGGGTATTTCTTTTTTCCTACACTATACTAAAGGGATAAAATAAATTTACTCATCAACAACAATAATATCATACTCAATGTATTCTCGTAAATGTTTCAAAGAGAAAAAAGTAGCTTTTTATCAGCTCACAAGAAATGTAACCAAATTAAAGTGAGGTTGAAAGAAAAATAATGATAACAAACTAACAAGATAGACGAAGAAAATGAAGGAACAAGTATTAGTAAAAATGAAGGATACGATACTACATAGATACTAAATAATATTAACTGTTAGAAGAAAAATAATAGAGAAATTTATTAAAAGCTCTGAAGCATGAAACACTATCTTTCAAGAGTTATATATTGCATGTATATACTTTTAAGATAGACAAACTTTTCTCTATAAAGATATAGCAAAACTTGGAATATATATGCAATTGAATCCGCTACTTCTGGAAATGTTTCAAATTTATAAAACTTAAGAGATGACTTTTCATAATAGTCAGGTTTTTTCATAAAAAAATATAATTTTTCATAATAGTCACGTTCTTTTATGTAAATATGACTTTTCATTTAATTTTTCAAGTCCAATTAGATATATATTAGTAGACTTATTCTACTAAATAAACTAAATGAGTTAAGCATTAAAATGACTTAAAAGATGACTTCTCGCACCGGTGTGGGAACTTTTCCTTTATATTACAACTATCCTAACACTAATAAATAAGGAGAAGATGAAACGAGGAGACTAGCCTCCTATTTCTTTCACATAAAAGTACGACAACACTCAACTATCTACAAACCTTCTACCATAATTTTAGGTTTCCATAACTTCGTTCGTATCTAGGGTTGGGTCCTCAATAACCTGAAAATGTGTCATATCCCTTGTCTAATCACCTACTCTAGTTCTGATTTGATAACCTCTCACACGTCTTTACTAATACATCCGCACATCTCCTTTGCCGTGCTCAAACCATCTAACCTTTCTTCTCTCATCTTGTCCGGCAAAGAAGGTATTCCTACATTGTACTTTATATTTATTTCTAATCTTATGTCCTCTAGTATGCGCACACATCCATTGGATTGAGCGTCCTCATATTTGCTGCCTTTATCTTATGAGCATGTTCATCACTGCGCATACAGCAATATAGGTCATACCACCACTCTATTCCCGCTCCAATATGATGTGCCACATCATGATTAATGTTAGGTTATTAGCTTATAATATTAATATTTAATATATTAAATTGCTTTATTTTGGAGTTATTGATAGCCATGTAATTTCATTACTTTTGGCTTTATTGGATGAATTCATTGTAAGATAAAAAAATATTCCAATGAACGTTGGAATGAATAACTTTTACATCAGCCATTATCTTTGGTTATCCTTCAACTTTATTTCATTCTTAATTCCTCTATTATTTTACCTAACCTATGTAACATATGTAACTCCTAAGACCATTTATTTTTACTATTTATCACTCCATTATCTTTTTATCATTGCTAGGAAGACTTTCTCAACTATAAATAGTGAGGGTATTCATTTGGTTTAGTACACACAACACACAAGAAAATATAGAGTGTGTAAAATTTGTCTAAAATAGAGTTCTTATTAGTTGAAGGGAGGTGTTCTTATTTGTGGAGCTTTGGACTCAACTCTTGTCCAGAGTTGTTGAGTTATACTTAATGAATGCTGTTGTATCCTGGAGGGAACAAGTCAAAGAGAATTACTGCTGGACCAGTGAAAACATTTACAGCAGTGGACTTGAATCTCCTTAAAGAGAGCGAGATATTCGCGCTTCAGCCTGAAGAAATTTATTTTCTTCATTTTCATTTTCAGCTGTAATCTTGTAATTTTTTGTTATGTCGTAAGTTTTCACTAACAATAAATAATATACTCATCTTAATTTCATCGATTATAAACCTAAGATACTTGAAGCGATCAATCTTCACTTCTACCTCCATTATATAAACCACATCATTGAATTTGAGTTGTCCTACTTAATGTAAAACCTTAAGATACTATAGGGTTTATCTCCAAACTTTCACCTTATTGTTAAGTCCACCGTCTTGTCGATCAATAATTCTATGTTATCAACAAACAACTTACACCATGACACAATCTCTTAAACATGCCGTGTCAATTCGTCCATCACAAAGACAAATGAAAACGAGCTGAGGACTTGATCCTTGTACAACCCCATCATAACAACGAAGTGTTTTGATCAATCACTCCCACTATATTCTTATTCGAATCTTACCTTCATCGTATATATATATATATATATATATATATCCTTAATTATCCTAATATAAACCGCAAAATTACACTATAGTCTTCGAACATTTTCATAAAAACCTCCTTATAAGAAGGAACTTTTTACGTCTTTTTTCTAACTTCCTGTATAATGAAAGAAAAGATGTAACAACAGTATTTTCACTCATTCAATGAGATATCTAAGTAATAACTTGAGTAGTGTGTACGAAAAGTCCTATCAAGTCATTATCAAACAAAATTTGTGTAGTATTTTACAAAGATAAACTTTTAATCCAAGGGTCCCATTAAAATGTCAAGTAGATGCACTCAACTCTTACAGGTCCACAAGTATCAAACCTCATTTATTTCTTTGAGCTGTCACTTAAAAAGAGAGAAAAAAGAACATTTTTTCTTAACACAACATTAATATCCAAAATACAAAAAAAAAAGAAGCCCTCCCAAAATACAGAATTTGTAACAAATAATTAGTAAAAAATGTTATATATATGCTGGAAATTACAATCCAAAATGTGTGGCAAAACTAAAAAAAATAATATGATGATGTCAAAACACAGATACAAAAATGAAAACCTATTTAATTATATTTCACCCAAAAATGCTTATGATAAAATAGTCAATAATTTCAAATACAAAAGGTCAAAATAGTAAAAAAGAAAAATAAAGAACCTCCACTTGTGAGAAACACCCTAGCTGATATTTTGACTTTTCTCCTTGTGTCCTAGCTGATATCTGAAATTCCATTTCTGCCCTTCCAATCTCGCCATTGAAGAATTTCGAAGCTCAAATGGAGTGACTAATTAAGTATATATATATATATATATATATATATCAAACATCGAATAAGTTATTGAAAAGATCAAAAGATGGAGTACCGGGAGATAAAAATAATCGCGGAGAAATGAAATTATTATTTGAAGGGCTAGGCAAGAAATTTGGTAATTCAAAATAATTCTTGTTGTTGACGTTGTTGTTGTTATGTAACACGGGACTTAAGTCGTAAAAAAACCCTAATGGATTTGGATCATTTGATGGTGGTGAAAAAAAATTTGGTGGTATAGGTTGAAGTGAAGATGGATTTGGTGATAATATTCCAGGAAAAAACCCACTACGTTCAATATCAGTACCTATTTCTATACCTTCATGTACCATATTATTATAATTTTCGATATTTTCACAATTTTTTTGCAACTTTTTCCCTTCTTGTACCCTTGTTTTCTCTATCGACGCAAACCTAGCTGCTGGAGATATTGCACCGGTATTCATATTTTCTTGATAAAATGATGACGTGGCAGTTTCCGAGGTAGAACACGTGGCGGAATGATGATTTGGCCCGGTTAGTCTTTGTACTAACGTCATGAACTCGCTAGGGTTTGCATGGATTACCTTAGGAGACACGGTATATATTATAACCGGTGGTCGCGGTGGACCTAGTGGTTGTTGATGGTGGTGGTGGTGGTGTTGTGATGGTGGTACTGGTGGTTTTCTGATTTTATGAGAATCTTTACGTACTTTAAGTGGGGCCGGACGTGGTCCTTGGAGCTCTCGTCTTGGTGATTTTCCGGCGGTGTTTTCCGGTGGATCCATTAGAGAGTCAAAAGAATAATAGGTAGATGCAAATTTTGTTGATGTTGAAAAGGAGGAAAAAGGCATTTTATAAATGACTAATTTGAGAAAATATAACAAGAATATTTAAAGAGGGAGCAAGTCAATGGTGTATTAAAGTTGATATATATAATATAATACAAAGAGAAAAAAGGTAAAATAATTTAATTTATTTGTTATAAGTTGTACATAATTGGTTAGTTTTTTTTTTGTTTTAAAAAATTGGTACCTAGGGGTTTAAATTAATTATGTTGTCCGGCGGTTTGTGTTATGTTATGTAGTCATATAAGACAATAGATTTTTTAATTCATTCAATGTTCAATATTATATATATTGGAATCTATTTAAATTTTGATTTGCATATGAAAATCTCATATTAAAGATAAAATTGTAGTTTCTAATGAAGACGATTCTATATTTAAAAAAATTCAAGTTAAAAACTTTTTTTAAAAAATGAAAAAATATTTATCACTTCATCATAATTGGTGCTAGTATGTAAGACAATAATTTGAAGATGTCCAAATAAAGAGAAGAGGCTGTTGGGGAAAAAGTCAATTTTGGTGATGGATTGATGACAACAGAAAAGGAGAAGAAAAAGAATAGTAAGTAATAGTATTATTTTGTAGCCAAGTGGATGTGGAATGCATTTATATTACTCTATCAACTAGCAAACCAAATATTTAATGAATGAGGATGTATTTCTTGGATGCCAGTAATATGACTATTACTTTTATATGGTTCTATTTAGGTGTCTTAGGAAAGACATTTGGAGCGTATATAATATCTTTTTTATGATTTTAACTATGTTAGGTAGGATGTTAAAATGAGAAGGTATAAAATATAGAAATAATATTCTTTTACAAATGTACCAAATTAAAAAATAAATTTTGTCATTTTTTTATGTGATATAATTGAAATTTTGAGAAATCATAAAATTTTTAATTAAAATTTCTCTTCATACTTTTTAAATATTTTATGATATCAACTAATTATTATAGTTTACTAATATAAAAGTTTGAATATCAGAATTTCAATCGAATCATATAAATTAAGACGGTAAAAGAATATATAAAAGATTTAGAACAACACATTTTTGCTGGCCTCTTCCTGGGGTCAAAGGAAATATAGTACGGTTATTTTTTTTGTCCTTTTTATCTCATTTTCTTCTTGTTATTCTAAAACAAAGAAAAGAAGATGGTCAGCGTGCAAAATTGATTTGCATATGAAATTGTTTTTGAAAAAAGTATTTTATATTTCGAGCCAAATGAAATCTAAAATTTGAAATGAATTTTCAGTAGTTTTTGAGCAATTTTTAATTTAATAAATAATATATTATTATAAGTGCCAAAGAGAAATTGAGTCTTTTAATCGAACCCTTTTAAAAACAATGACCAAGTATAAACAAGTTTTATGGTGGGGGCTAAAGGGTTCCCAACAAATATTTATTATGTATTAGTAGATATTTAGAATTATTATTTTTACACTAGATCTGTCTTTACCCCGATATAAATCCAAATTAATTGGGTAAAGTAAGAATTAGATTTTTTTTTAAAAAAAAGAGGAAAATTGTATATAATAGCAAATTAATAACCTAAAATAAATGGAATAACTAAAGTTTAATTTAATTGTGCTCCATAGCAAACGTTTGCAAAAAATTGTCAGACCCCTCTCTTTCAAATATCTCGCTCGCCACTATCCTCCAATCTCTCGCTCGCTTTCTCGCTTTTTATACAAATACAAGTGTATAAAAATTATTTCTAATTATATAAAGCAGAGAAATTTGTATAAATACGTATATTTTTGTTCTCCACTCTCCCCTCTTCCAGATCTCGCTCGTCATTCTCCCAAATCTCACTTGCCACCCTCGCCTTTCTCACTTATACAAAAAGAAGCGAAATGTATTAATTACGTTTCTGTTTGTATAAAGCGTGAGAAAATTGTATATACACATGCAAGTACATATATTTTCGTTCTATACACTTATAATTATACAATAAAAATACTCCCCTGCCCAGTTTCTTTTGCCTTTCTCTCTTTCCTGTTTTATATAATTTTCAAATTGTATCTAGTTTCTCTCTTTCTCGTTTTATACAATTCGATTCAAAATTTCTAGTCAAGTATCTTTTATCTTTCTCTCTTTCTCATTTTATACAAATTCAAATCGTTTTATACACTTATAATAATACTATTCGTTTTTTACATTCGTTTTCATACAGTTCTCTGCCCAAGTGTCTTTCTCTTTCTTGATTTATACACTTCGTTTTATACAGTTTGCTTCAACTGTATATGTATAACGAATTATACAGTTTCTATGTTTGCTATGAAGCGCAATTATGCAAACTTTGTTATACCATACAAATATGAATTTTTTATTTGCTATGTGTGAAAGTTGCCCTAAAAACAAAAAACGATGCCTACAAACCCCAAAAAAAAACAACAAGATGCCTAATTAGATAAGATTATCAATAATAAAGAGGAAATTAATTGCTTTTGCTTTCTCTTAACTTGTTAATTTTTGCAAGTTAGATGGATAACTGGGTCCATGTTTAAACTCATGCATGTTATAATTATTTGTCAATCAATTAAGTTGTAGTAGAATGATTAACAAGCCCAAGTGGTATATGTATGCGGGGGAGCAAATCTTCAGTTGGGTTTCCATTATTATTTTAGTGCAATAATTTTTTATTTTAGTTAGTTTTTGCAATTTTCAATATATTTGTTGTCGTATCAAATTTAACACTTAATTACTTATCAAGTAACTCTCCGCTTAATAGCACAAATTGGTAGTTAAGCTAAAATAACTACTAAGTTTTGTTATAGCAAATTAAAGTTATACTGATAATGTAATAAGATAGTGATGTAGTCGATGTATATACTCCAACCTAAAATTTTATAAATTAATAACATAGTCAATGTTTTGATTAAATCAATAAATACTTTGAAATGTGTCATTTGCATAAACTTTTCACTTAATCATATTATTAATCGAATAATTTTCACCTTAATTTAACAATTACCTTGATAAAATCAAATATAAATTGATGTAATACTTGGGTAAGTTTAGTTTCAATCATGTACTCATATTTGACTAGAAATATATGCACAAATAATGATTGTTTTCACCTTAATTCTAGCCGATATAGTTATGTCCTTAGGACTTTGTACTATGTTATGTTTTCTTAGTAATGGTATCAGAATTTTATTGAGGAGCGGTCAAAATATAATAGAATAGTTACGTGAAGAATGTAAAAGGATTCAACATATATATATTGTATATACATGAAAATGAATTTGATATGAATGTAATTTTTTAACGAAAGAATATTACTTGACCCCTCCGTGTACATGAGGACTCTCTACTAACTTCAATCAAAATAAGAGATATTTTGTTCGAATAATAAAAATATAATATTGCCACTTTAAGTATAAAAATATTACTTTCTTGTATAAATCATAAATAAGCATCGGATAAGAAAGAAACTTTATGTCCTGGATAAATTTTTTTCCTAACACATGCTATTGGGTGCATATTATTAAAAATGAGAAGTCACTTGACTTTCTCATGTAGCACAACATGTTATTTCTGATTTAAATTTTTCAATGGTTTGGTTTGTAGTCATTGTCTTTGTTTAATTATTTCTTATTTGATGCATCATCCTCATATCGGATTTAAATTTGTATCTCTCATTTTATATATTACCAAAATTGATAATCTTTCTTCCAAATAAATAAATAAATTGATAATCTTTATGTAGTCACTTTTTTTTCTTTAGCAACAAAGATTGTTAAAATGGTTCTAGAACCACATGCTTCTATTAGTAGAAGTGTAAGGGTGATTTTATCTAAAATAAAATAAAATTGAGTATTCAAACCAAAATCTTAACGTAATGAGTGGAATAATCTAAAAAATTATAAACGTTTTTTAAATTTCTCAAATTAATTGCGAAACAAATATATTTGTGGAAGAATTTGCCTCTTCACGAGATAGTAAAAAAATTTGTGCACGTTCTATTTTCTTTAAATTTCACTCGTTAGAGTTTTACTGAAGCTATTATTATTATTTTGAAAAAATCTGAACATTCAAACCAATTTTAACCTTAAGATAACGAACACAAATTAAATATATCTTCTTCTAACAATAAAAAAAGAACTACTGCTTTAATTTGACAAAAACAATAACGTATTGAACCTTCTATAACCAAATCAAAGATCTTAATATGGTAGAAACTATCTAAAGTTTGATATATTTCTATGTTTAAATTCTTTATTCTTCTAGAAAGATTATGTAAGTTTATTACTCCTAACCAAATCCTAATTAGTGTTAACTAATAACTAACGTGTGGTTGATTAACCATTCAAAGATTACTTTGTCTAATTAATATAATTAGTTGTTGCTTTGGGTCCTTCAACATAAGCTAAGTCCTCTTATTTAAACAATTAATTGAGCTAATACATCTAAATTTCTTAACTAATTACTATGTTGTCATTGGTTACGACATAAACTAAAACATAACACTTATCCCTATCACATCTTTATATACTCTCATCACATTTTACTTGACTCATATTGACTTTACATAAACGATCTCCAAAAAAATATATTTATTAGGAGTTTATTTAATTAAATTTACTTTATTAATTATTATGCGTTTACAATTTAAATTTGACTATTACTGCTAGACGTAGTTATTTACTATAGCACTAGATGAAAATACTACTTTAATAAACTTCTCTTAATTTGTTAAAATAAAAAAAAAGTAAAAATTATTATAAATAGGGGTCAGGTAAAATAAAAGAGTCTGGAGCCTAAAAGGTATAAAATGTTAATAAAAATTTCAAAACGTTATATAAAATTTTATATTAACCAAAACGGCAAAATCGCTGAACAACAGCGATTTCCTCCACCGGAAAAAGCAAAATCGCTGCTATTGAAGCGATTTTGCAAAATGTGATTTTTCTTTAAAAAAAATAATTCAAATCGCTTTCTAGGCAGCGATTTTCATTTTTTTAAAAAATTTTTTATCAAAAAAAATGAAAATCACTATCTAGGTAGCGATTTGAATTTTTTTTTAAAAAAAAA